GCGATTCTATTTTATTTTGTCGGAGGCCAACTCACACCCATTTGAGACCCTAGTATCTTCTTGAATAGAATTGTACTTCCTTAATAGTTAATTTGAACCCAAGTTTTTGTTATTGCAATCCTTTGATTACCGTAGTAAGCATTTTTTATTGACCTATTTTAAATTAGTTTCGTTTTCATACACAGAGATACATGGATCACAAATATGTTCATAAACTATTATAAATAATAGTGTCGTCCGATTAAGTTTTTTTTTAATTTTTTATCGCCCATTATTATTGTATGACTATTTCAGATTCCTAGAATTCGATTATATGTGAGTACATAAACTGCCAATGTAATTGTAGAGGCTTATTCTGGTACTTAAACATTAGGTAGATTTTGTTTTTTACTATTTATGATTTTTTTTTTCTAATTCCATTTCTTTGAAATACTGTAAGCAAAAACTACAAAATCCAACAAATATAAAATGAGGTTTGTTTTTTACTATTTCACTCTTTATATATTTTATAGAAATTACTTCGTACTGCTTAGTTGAATTAACAATTTCATAAGACTTTTAAGTTTAATTAGCATGAATAAGTACACGTCAGAGAACAGTGCTCTAAAGCAGTGAATAATACGCGCTACGGGATTTATTGCCCGAGTAGAGTAACGTCACGTTTGTGGCCTATTTACACATCCACTTTGAAGTAAATGAACTTTTACTATTTCAGTTTTTTCAGCTCTCGGAAGTATTAACACTTTGGCATTAAATCAGTTTGCCCAACGAAGTGTCAAGTGGCGAAACGTCATTTCGAAGTAAAATTTACACAACATTTTCCTAAAAATGTACAGACGAAAGAGCATTTATTGTTTATGTATATGTCAAGGACTGCTCCACTCCTTGGGATGTTGTCATCAGCCACCATTTTCGCTAAAGCTTTGACATTTACCGAAAATCAACTTAAATTTAAATTAATGTCTTTTTTATTATTCTAAAAATAATATAAAACTATTTTGAATAAATAGTAAATAAAAAAAGTTTTTTATAATGAAATCGCAAAAGGGGTCCTACATAATGAATTAAGTTTCAGATTTTAGGGTCTTCCGCACTTCTGAATCCATTAAAAATTATAATTCAAACACATTTTTTGGTGGAACCAATAATCAAGACATATGATAATAAGTTTTTATTAATAAGTTTTTATTAGTCGAGTGTTTTTGATTGCTCAGTTTATATGGCAGCTATTAAGGTGCAATTAACTGATTTGGGTTATCATCAAAATCTATTTCCAATGCAGAAATTTATTACTTTATCTTAAAAACTAAGAAACTAGATTGCATTAATGCAAGCAGACAAATGTAGAGTATCAAATAGATTAAACGATCTGTACAAGAACATTAACACACTATATGGTCTCATATATCACGTTCACTAACATATTCTTTTTATATCATATATTACTAATTTACTCTTTTTATAATGTAGTATATGCGAGTAATGTGCTTTCGGACGAAGTGGATAAATAGGTCAAATTTTTTTGACCAGTTGTTACGGATGCCGTTAAAAATATGCAAAAAAGATTCCTATCAAGATATATTTGGGTGATTATATCCTTAATTCATTATTTTTGGCTCTTTTTTAATAAATAATTTCATAAAATTATAAGTAAAAAACCATATTTTTTTGATTTTCTTATATATTGTATGAAAGAAATATGATACTCATAATTTAAAGGTTTATATGAATTATTTATAATTTTATCTTACCCAACTATGATACAATACTTAACAGCTTTTAACATTCAGATACAAAATCAAATCGACAAATATGCTACCATTCTTATTATCGCTCTGATCAGGATGTATATCAGATATCTTCAAGTAGTCATGTAGAGTGGAATAAAAGCATGAAAAAAAACAATCATTATATTCTAAAATAGGATTAGCATTCTTTTTTGACGGGTTTTACAAATAACTAATAACAAAATAACTAAAAATTATTGAATGCATTTACGACTACTTATATTTGCTTTAGTGCCCATGTTTTTAGTGTCATGCTTTGATGCACTCATATATAGTGTCTTCTTATTATCTTTTTATTGCGGTATGTATATCACAAGAAATTATGAGCTATCTACTCCATTATTCCAACATAAAATAGAATATTTAGAGAGAATTATTCTGGCTCCCAGTGAAACAGCACACTGTAATCCATAATAGGTGTTTTAAGCTACACTATAAAAAAAACGTATTGCCAGTCGAAAGGAAGTTAAAATACATTTCGTTGAGGAATTTGTTATATTGAAACCTCTTGTCCTATTATTTTACTCGTGACCAAGATCAATGCCAGATAAATACAAATAATTTTATCAGGTGTCAAATTTTTTCTACGACAAAGGTAACATTCTGTCACTTTTTTATTTTATTGAACACAGGTTAAAATGTCCTACCAGCAACCATATTTCTGTCAGACTTACGAGGGGTGTTCTTTGTAGTCGAAAAGCCTAACCTACGTTTTAGCTTTACGGTTATCTGGATTTCTTATGCAATTATTAATGAAAGGCTGAATTGTAGGTGAACTAATTCCACAAAAGCGGTTCCGTCTGCAGAATTATATGGCTGAACCAGTTCATAAAATGTTATCACGAATTTCATTGATATTGGATGCTATATAACCCAATCTGACTGATAACTGCTTGCTTCAATGTAAAGATTCAGATGTATAAGCTTCAATCAATTAAATTTATAATATATTGTTTAATAAACCATCTAACAATAAAATCAACCCATCATTCATCTAGAAGAATGATATCGCGAGTAACTTTGCTATTCGATTTTAGCATTCTCCGGTCTGACTGATTGCTGCCTGTTTGCGTGTATGAATTCAGACGATTGTACATCTCTACCTTTTGGAGAGGTTCACTCAGTAGAATTTGGAAAACATGGTTAAATAGAGTGAACCTCTGCAGGGTGCACGGACTCAGTACATAGATAATAGTAATGTTAGAGGTAATAATCCTTTTAACAAAATTTTGATTTTTAAACCATTTGTGTGCCAAGGGATAGTTTTTAGTTGCAAACACAGAATCCCATTTCTCCAATCCAATCCAAACGTTTAGGATTGAGGACTTCAAATTTTCTACCGCTCCACTATACTTTACCATTTTATATTTATACTCTTGACATTTCGAATTTCATTTTGTAAATAAAAAGACATACATAAATGTTAAATGAATTGTAGATTAATTGCTTCAACAAAAAAAAAACACTATTGATCAGCACAAATGACGAATTCCTGTTGCAGTTAAAATTTGATTGAAATTCATTGAAACATCTTGCAACATCGATTGCAGTAGTTGACGTGCAACAGCAATGTTTGCTTTCCTCCAATTTATGCAATTTATGCACCGTCATACCCTTTAGTTTGCATATTTAGCAATTTAATTTTGACATATAAAGTTTTCTTTTGTCTTCTATTTTAATATTTCATTTTCATTGTTGTGTGCTTTCATTTATGTTTACTTGCTTTTATTATTGAGGATATTCTTATTTTAGTATCGCGTACTTCTCATATATTTGCTGAATGAGACAATGTTTGTTTTGTTGTTATTGTTGGTTTTATTGTTTTTGTTGTTTTTGTTGTTTAATCAACATATAAAATTGTTAAGGACAAGAGTGTAGCAATAAAGCAATACAAATACGCTTAAGTGATTTACTCGTCACAGCCATACACATACATACACAGCCATATAATGAAACACCTACTTATGGAAAAATGAAAACAAAAAGCACAAACATACAAGCTTACAAATAAATAGTTGTATAGCTTAACATGTTGGGCATACTTAGCGTAGATGGTATGTGATGTGTAAATAAGGGGTGAAAACAATGGCAACACTGTTGGTTGAATGGTTGGATGGTTGAATGTGGTGCGAATGGACTTTTTAAAGTGCTGAAATGTTTGTCAAACTAAAATTGCGCAAATGAAAGCTTTGCCAAGTAAGAGATAAAAATTTTTAACGGGCATTAAGGAAATTCCTTTTTATCAAACGAACAGAAAAAGAACACAAAAATACTGACAAGCTAAAGCATTTTTAAAAACCGTGGACCTAATTTAAGGAAAAAAATTAAAAAAACACAATATAAGTGCCACACAATGTGGTAACTCCAAAACAAAGATTAGCAAAAGCACGTTGATACAACTGACGTATGGGGGAGGCTAGCTGTAACTTTTTGTATACGTTATTGGAGTGTATGAGCATCCTTTTGGCAATACTTGTGTAGTGGTTGGGCATGGTGGGTATGTTGGGCATGTTGGGTATGTTGGGGTATAACGTAAACAACAACGCAAAACGGTAACTCGAATATTGGATGACGGTGGTATGTTATCGCTACGTTGCGTTGCAGTCAAAGAACTCGTCCTTTTTATCATTCGTTTGCTGTTTAGTCTGTTGTGCTTGTTTATGTTGTTGTCATTATTTTTGGTTAGTATACTCATTTTACATTGTTGTTGTGCTATTGTTTTTGAGTAAGTTTTACGCATTTCGGTGCGCGTTTATTTAAAGTTGGTTTAAAAAAGGTATGCTTTCTGTATTTGGCATTTTATTTATTTTGTCGTTTTTTCTGTGGCAGAGATGCAAAATTTTTCAAAGCACAGTAAATATGATATTTTGTGAATTTAAGCTGATGGGCTTTCATTTCATTTACTAACATTTTAACGTATTAATGGGTGTGTGCCTTAAATGCATGGGCTTATATGTATTATATAAATCTTTAAAATTTTTTTATTTATATTTTATTAAATTTTTATTTTTTCTTAATTATGAAAAAAAAACTACACAATTTATAGCTAACAAAAACCTGTGTGCACAAATTCCTGTTCACTTTTGCGGTCATTTCACACCGTCACTACAACTGCTAACATATTTTTAAAAATAATTTAAAATGTTATTTTTATTTTTATTTTTATTTCTGAATGAAATATAATTTGTATAATTTGTAAAGTGTGATAATTACCGCAATTTAATTTTGGAAGCTGCGCTAACCGGTTGACTGTTGTTATGGTTGTTGTAGTAATTTGGTTTATATTTGAACTGCTTTCACTTTCACATTTAACAAAAAGATATTTTCTTTCGAAAAGCGTAGGATTTTTCGCACAAGCACATTTCGTCAATACCTCACACATTTACATACAAACATACAGAGCGCATATTTTCACAACATAACACTTATTTTCATTTACTTTAACCAAAGCCACTGTAGCATTTTGGACGTCGAATCTTAAAATGTATATATACATATTATTTTTATTAGGATTTTACTTATTTTTCATTTTTCATAACTGAATAATGCATTCATTTCGTTATTGTTAATTACATCATCTGAATTGGACTTTTATTTACACAAAATAAATTCGATCAACAAGATTTTATGAGGAATTAACATATGTGAGCCTGAAGTCATCATCGTACACCGCATAGGAAACTTCCGACACAGCGACCCGCTAAATCGATCGATAAATTAAAAACGCACTAATGACACACAAAAAACTAACAGAAACTCCCGACTGCCCTTTGTTTGTTGCAAGCACGAAATCGTCGCTAATTCAACTGATTAAGTAAAAGACCGACTCAATGTTTGACTTCTGACTTCAGATTTCAGATTCGACAAACAAAAATATCTAAACAATTTACGCTTACAAAATCTGCAGTGCTACTTTTCTACTTATTCTGCTGTAGGAATACACTAAATTTTCTTTGCTTTTCCTATTTTCATTTCTTCACGGTTTGTATCTATACGCTATGCACTGTAGCCATTGTGTACAACAACAAAAAAAAAACAAACTTTCATGTAAAATTTCTTTTGGCAGCACGTTTTTAAAATTTGTTTACATGTCGGCGCTCCGCCACTTCTTATCCACTGCCAACCACTTCATTCAAAGCTTCGATACCAACTGAATGTGTGCGCAGCCAGTACAAGAGCGTACAGGCAAAATTCTTTTTGAGTTTTAAGCTTTCGCTCAACAAATTAGACTCTTTTGCCAAGCGATGGTAAACGAAAGCACGCAATACAGCGGTCGTATCTTTGCTTCTCGGGCCTGATTGTATTTCATTAAAGATGCTGTAGTAAATTCTTATATTGTATTAGACGTACTCAAAAAAAAATATAAAACAGTCTATAATATTAAAGCCGTGTGCGAGTTCGAGTAAATTGAGGTAAAATAAATTGAAATTTCCTAGGGATTTTTTGCATTTCACTTATGTAAATATTTATTTATTTATTTATTGCACTTATTTATTATTATTGATCAAATGTTTTTAAATTTATTTATTTATTTATTAAACATTTCATAAAATTTTCACAATGGTAACACCTAATTTAACTAATTTTTAGCTAATTTACATTTTTAAAATTAAAAATGTTAACATAATGGTTTTATACTAAAACTTTCAAGAACAACGGGACTTTTATTCGCCAATTAAAAAAATATTATAATACCGTTGCTGACAATTATCCCTCCAGTGTCTATACTAAACGATTATTCAATACTTTGCTAACGCATTAATCACATGTGACCTAATGAGAAAATGCTTCATTGTTTCTTACTCTACTAATTTTCTATAACCTCTGCAAATGTGTGTTCCTATTCTTTAGTAACTAGAGAAAGCTATAGTAAGTTCTCAACTACTCACACAGGGAGTCTATGATCTCGACTAGTTGTTCAAATTGTTCGAAGAATCCACTATCAATAGTTAGCGATTATTCGTTATTTCAGGATCTACACATTTTATATAAAGTCATTGGAATATAAAGATTTCAATATTTAGCAATTATTCGCCGTTTTGCTACCATATTCCTCGCAAGAAACCTAATAGAAAATGGCTTGAATATTTCTTTTTTTCTTTTTTATTTCTATAATCACGTGGTCTCTAATTATGAGTGTTCTTTTTACTGTATCTTTTTTACAAATTTATCGGAATATATAACTTTCAACATTTAGCAATTATTCACTACCCTATTTATTGTGTAAAATACTTGGAATACCTATACACGATTTTTTGACTTAGCAGGATATTATTCGATTAGGCGACGAACAAGCAGGTGTGCAGTTTACTGATGATAATGAAAGTTATCGTCTGAAAGTCAGAAACTTCAGTCTTTTAGACTGAAATAAGTCTAAAAGATTTAACTGTTCTATGTGTTAATTGTTGGCTTACCTTGGATATAATTAAATAAAACACGTTAAGAATTAGTTAAGAGGCAAAAGCATTGTATTTATTCAAATATTTTGTTTTAAATGTTGACTGATTTGTGTTTGTGTGTTTTATTTTTTTTTACAATAAAGTAATTGTATAGAGTTTTGTAGTAATAATTTTAAGCAGAAAATATATTTTATATTTTTTTATGTAATTTATGTTTTTCTTTTTAGTAAAAAGATAATACAAAAGATTTGTTACATACACATATACCGAAAATATTTATTATATAAATATGTTTCACTTCACACCTACATTCTTAGAGACTAAATTACACCCACAACTAAACATATATATCTACTTATTTATCCGTTTACATATTAATATTATATATATCCAACATAATTCACAATTTTATTGTATAGCGCATAACCTAACATTTCATTAATTTTTTTTATTACTCGTATTTAAAAAAATTTTATTTTGAAAAAGTCGTTAACTTAATTTCAGTTTTGTGTTTCGTAAAAGCTTCAATAGTTTAGATAGTATCTGAAATGCTAAAATTGTTCTGGTATTTATTCAAAAAACTAAAATAAGATTTTGGTATTCTATATGTAGATAATGAGTTATGCTTACAATTCCTAGCATCTAGGAGTTTCTATTGTATGTATTTTGTGACAATATTACAGAACTCTATGGAGAGGAAAGTCCTCTCAGTGCACGTCAATAAGTATTGACACGAGTTTCTTGTAAGTTTATATAATATATATTGAGTAAACAAAAAGTGATCTGTTTATTTTATAATTTTATTAAAATTGGGGAGATTTGAAAAAGAAGTATATATCTAAAAGGCATAGCTAAAATATATCTTGAGGGTATGTGCAATAGTACTAATCTTCGTATATAAATACTCTATGAAAAACAAAGATCTACAGGTATTATCAATACCAATGGGACGGTTTCTGAAATGAATGTGTGACTTAAAGCCAATAGTGTAGAAGGAACCTTATGTAGATTTGAAATAGTATGATTTATATTATTAGGAAAATAGATATTAGAAGGTAACCGAAATTCAAAAAGTGCTAATATTATAAATTCATAAAATTCATATTTTACAGGGTATTATGCATAAAAAAGCATAGCAAATGATTAAGCAACACAATAATTAATGACATTGTATGTACAATAAAATAAAAAATTTTAAGATAAAATTTTTCCACAAAAAAAGTGCTATAGTTGTTTTGGTAGAAACGATAATATATATCGTTTTGATATTTTTGATTAATAAAGAAATATATGAAGAAAAGAGGAACATTTTCCTGACTAACTGTATATGCATGTTAAACTCTTATATATATATATATATTAAATATTTTTATATAAGTATATACATATTGTATGTTGTATATATAATTGTTATATCATTTTGAGAAAGTATATATTTATAATATGCTGCACTTATTTAAATCATATACATACATAAAACATACACCTTCCACTAGTCGTCAGTGTAATCATCATAAACGAAGATATACCGAAATAAATAAGTATACATAAATAAATATATAATATAATAATCACAATAACCTTCATCGCTTCAAAGATATTGAACATTATTAAACATTATAAATTATTAAAACAGTAAATTATTCCATTTATTATACGGGGAAAATAAAATAACGCTTTAACAGAAAAAAATAAATCTTCCTTGTTATAATATTTTATATACGGTTTTTACAGCTCGAAGTATGAGTTCCATTAGCAATTGAAGACCATATGGAAAAACTATTTATTCAGATTAAATTTTACAAACTTATGCTTACACATCAATTCGTTTATGTATATTTATAATTTTAACTAAAGCTTTTCATTGTATCTGTTAGTTTTAAGTGTGGTCTGATTCAATTCAAATAGGATTAGTATTTGATCCTGTTCTCTCTCATCTAGCATTAAACAACATAATTTATACCGATCTAATTTTAATTGTTTGGTAACATTTGATTTGAATCAAGTTATACAGAGGCGTAGCGAAAATTAAACAAAATCAGTATATATTTTAGGAGATTAAAGAAATATTTCATGAAATTTTTTGCCCGTTTTATACCGCAATAGTTTTCATATGTAGCGGTGTAACGTTATCTTTTGTAATTTCGTCCCTTTCAGTAATATTGAGTTATGTAATTAAAATCTGGATGAATAAATCTTAACATAATAAAGTAATGAATCCTCACTTTATAACGTGGATAGCATTTCTAAAGGATACAACTATGTTAAGAAAAATGATAACATGTGAAGTAATGATCAGATCTTATGCATAGTACTTATCAGACTATAAATTCCTTAGTTTCATTCAAGTGATAAAAAGTACTTTTTAGTGTTAAAGTTTAAAATTTCTCATATTTGTAATAAATATAGAAATTTAACTTATTCGACAAATTTGTTCGTAAACATTTTTTCATAAATATATTTCATACCCCTTGGTCAAAACTTTGACTACGCCACTGAAACTATATGTAAATAATATTAAGTTTTTTCGTTTCTATATAGATATATCTAAAATGAACTGTTAATTTGTGTGAATAAATAACTTTACAACATTTATATTATTATATCAATTATATACTTATCTGTTTTGGTTATTTTAATAATTAATATATGTATAATATATGTATAATTGTTTCTTATATCTTTGGTTATATTTCTATTGCTGCTAATCTCTTAAGCAAAATCTTCTTCAAATCATTTTACAATTCGTAATATGCCATCAAAAATATTTTACGTTATCCTTTTTAATACTCAGATTTTTTCTTAAATGTTTGTATATTTATATATATATATATATATATATGTATAGTCTATACAGCAAAATTGCATAGGTTTTATATTGTATATATTATTAAATTGTTAATTTTAAGAATCCTAAAAATTTCCCCAAAATTTCCCCATTTGGAAACGTCATATTTCCTCTTTTAATCTTGAGCCGACATAGTTTTTTTAAAATTCTAAATACTCGGAACTCATTGCATATATTCAGGAATATAAACAGTACATCAGAACTCCAATGGCAATAGATTTTTGTCTTTATAATGCTTCGTTTTTATATATCCTGTGCATAATGTCCTACTGCCATTTGAGCTGAGAGAAACTATAGGTATTAGACGTATTATGTACCGTAATATTTTTATTTTAATATTGTGTAGATTTTAATATATGTATTTAAAGTAATTATCCTTGTTAACAATGTTCATGTTGAGTTTTTACTTTGAATTCGAGATAAAGTGTTTAAATTTGTTTAAATAATACAAAGAAAGTGAAATCGGAGGTTGATGGTTGAGGTTGAGGTTGAGGTTGAGGGGATTACTGCATTAAATTTTAGAAAATAACCAGAATCATACACTTATGTATAAAAAGTCTCTAAGCATTGAAATATAACCTACACTAACTACACAATAGTGGAAAACTCTCTGAAACGTAACACAAAAGCAATATCCGTGAGTTTTCATTGTAGTTAAGGCTGTTCAGGGTTTCGATTATATTGGAGATCTTCAGCAAAGCGTTCACTTTACAGTCTATTAGACTGTTTCTAGTCATTTTATAAGTTCCAGATCCAAAGTATTTTTCTTGAAGTATACCATCAGTCAAAATGTATTTATTAACTGCTATTTAATGGTATGGTACACCGAACAATACCAAGGTGAAAAGGAATGTTTACTTAGCAAACTGATTTGCCAGGGGTACTTTTGAGTGGTGGTCTTATTCATTCCAATAACTTGGAAATTATTCAATCCACATATTCAATTTACTCACAAATTGTAAATGCAATCATTAATAATTTAATTCAAATAATTGAAGTTTTCTGGTTAGTTGTAGATAATTATAAGAAAACTAAAATCTGTGAAGAACTCTGGAGAAAGAAGTGCTTCTATTTATGGCAAACATCACTGCAATATATGTTTACATTATTAGTTTTTTGATAAATTTATAGTAATTAGAAAGCTTTATTAAAAATAACTTATACATGCTTCATTTCGGCCTTCATTTCTTTTAAGAACAAGAGATCTGTTTCGAATTCCTAGTTCTGGTTATTTTCCAACTAAAACTCAATGCATATTCTTAAGTTGGGTTGACTGTATTGGTAGGACCTTATAGTTAATTATATTAGTTCATATGATTTGAATAAATACTTGTATTCACACGGGAATAGAGAGTTAGCACACGCGAGGCGAAAATACAAATAGTTTCATCTCTTAAGAGTATAGTTATGAAAATTATGATTTAACATAAACGTATTCTAACTAGTATATATGTAATGTATCTTAAATGTATATATATATATATATGGATTATATGTTAAATGTATTATGTTGTATGTAAATTCATTTGTTACATTTTACAAATCAAAATAAAACTCAACAAGCAACACCTAAAACTGATTTACTTTGAGTTCGTTACCTTGCAACTGTACTAACCGGAAAGCTTCTCGAATTGTTGGTGTCATTAGAAGTTTTAAGTTTTCATCGGCTTCGGCTGGCAAGCTAGTTAGCAGCTCCATGGATGCCACAACCAATTGCGCTAGTGCTGCACGTTTATAGTTGGAGTCTTTAAGTATGCTCGTAGCTCGTTGTTGCTCAATTTCGGGTGATATGGTCTCTGATTCCGATTTTTGTGGCCGATTTGTATCGAATGGATTATTTCGGCATTTTGGTTGAAATTCACTGATCAGCGTTGTCATAGTTACATTTTCATCTTCCAAAGGCAAGCATTTACTGGGGGACGCGGAATCAGTTGTTGTTGTCTCCGAGTGGCTTGACGTGCTGGAGTTATCACTGCCATTTATCGATATGCAAATTGATTTTGTGTTATTCAGTTTATGGGGCAAGTTTCGCTTCTCTTCATTGCGAAGTTTACCGTTTTCAATATCGTGCATTGCTGAATTGCTGAGATATAGCTCACACACCAGATTCCATGCATCCTGTAGACAAAACAAATATCTCACAAAATTTTCCTTCTTCTTAACGGTTGTGGTATTCAAACGAGAACAGGACTCCAATATGAAGTTCAAGTCTTCTGGACCAAGATTGTAAACTACTATATCATTCAGATACGAATCTACTAATGCAATGTAATAAATCATCCACGACGAGGTCATTTGTTTATATAAATTTGCTGCATATTCTATATTCGATACTTTCTGCATGAGGAACTTCAGTCCAGGTCGCGAATCAAACTCTAGTGAGCTTGTCAAATACTGCTTAACGCAACGAAGCAGTATTTCCTTGGAGCGGAAATCCAAATCATAATCATGTGTGGTAGCTGCAGCTGTTGTATAGTTATCGAATATGCACGTGGACACAGCTTGAGGAACACATTTCATGCGAGAAAGCAGGAGCTTCGCCACTAACTGCAGCAACATTTGATTAGCCAACAAGCCCACTACCAGATTTTTGAAGGGTATTCGTATTACAAAATTATCCAAATTAGAGTTAAATCCATTATTAAGTGGGTAAAGCAGGAACGAATAACTGCGATCATCAGTCAAGTGTTTGTCTAAATGATTGTTTAGTGGTTTTGTACTTGCTGGTTCACGTTGATTATCGGCTAGGAATACTTGCTGCGCCAGTGCATAAATGCGTGTTAGCTCCTCCAAGGTACTGTCACGTCGAGCAGCCACTTTAACATTGGCACAGTCACCATAAAAACTGTTCGATTTTTCATGGAATGCAAACGATAATTGCCGCAAAGGAGCAATTGTTACAGTGCATGCACGATGAATGGCCGAGCAAGCAATCATCCACTGGGACTCATTGAAAAGCATGCCTGTAGACAAAATTACATGCTTTAGACATGAGACTCCCACTCTAGCTATAGCCTCTTGTGCTTGTGCGGAACATTCTATCAATACTAATAGCATTTGCTTGAGTGCCAGTGTAGCAGAGCCTGAAATTTTTGTAGGTGACTCTATAACGTTACCGGCACTATCTTCACTAGAAGAAGAGCTGTCATATTGCTGTGGATTTGAGTCAGCGCCTACATGCTCTGTCACAAACTTTAATTTTGAGTACATAACGTTATCGGCTGGATGAACAATTTGCGTAACTCGTGTTTTTATTGTACCGTGTTTCTTAGTCTCGGGAACGGACTTTTCAATAAATTCCACAACTAGATCAGTGGTCATACAACAACAGTGCTTAAAGTTCTTTTCAATCAGCTGCCAGGATGCACCTGTCTTATTTATGTACCGCAGCCAGTCCTGAATCATTGGTATCAGTAAATGGTTAATACAGTAGAATCCAAAATCAATGCCTGGATTAGTAATAAGATTTTTGAAAAGTTTAAAAATTGTCTGCAGTATTGGAGCCTGGTGAGAATACGGACAAACAATCAGTGAATTTGTTAAACCGTCCAAAAGTAAAAACCAAACTTTTAACACTCCTGATGGCTTGTCCATTTCATCTATTTTAACAATGGCATCTTTATCTATGTGGAGTGACCTGTATGAGATCATATGTTGTTCGTTCTTCGTTTGTAAATAATCATTGCCAAAGTAGGTAAAGTTCTCCATTGAATTTGGAATGTTGGCGTCGATTATGTGCGTATAAGATATTCCTTTAATCTTGTATGTTGAGTGGAAATTTGGACACTTTGGCATATTAAACATAAAACTCAAAATTGATGAACAACGTTCCAGAAAGCGTAAAGTTTCATGCAAAAATTCGGAAGGTCTAAAGTTATTGTCCTCCTCACCGCAAGTGTTATTATTACTTCCACCCCCACCTGATATTTCTAAATACGAAAGCAAGCAAAGTATGCAATCCAGACCTGCATTTGCAAACACCAATGTATTGTCAGAGTCTAGAAAAACTCTAAAGATGTCTATAATGTTACTCATATTCAACATGCGGCTTCTCGCATTACGCAGAGTACCAAACAACGGACGCCAACCGGATCGTATTTCCGTACGATGTGCCTCTACGATTTCATATAGACAAGCTATAATCTGGTCCTGTACATCAACATCACAACTGTCCATGCTTAAAAGATTTTCAAAGGGTTTTAGCAGAGCCTCATTGAAGTGAAAATACGGCAGTTCGGACTGCTCGACCAGTAAGGAGGTAATAATGTCGTGTATATACTCTATCGCACGTTTCGATATAACTCGATCTCTGTGACAAGCAGCCTAAAACGGTATTGCATTTAAAGTACATTTCTCATTAAAATTATTACAATTATCAAACTTACATCCATTAAGTGTGGTCCTGTTATTGCCCATATCTTAAGTACGTGTAGTAATGGTCTCGAACTTCTAAAAACTTTCAGTGTTACATCCCCAATTCGATGTAATAGTAATGACATTGGCAAGGAGGTAATCTTTTTCCAGCCCTTACTCGGCCACCATATTCGACTACCCTTACGTGCCACTGTATTTTTGTAAAGCTGTTCACGTGAAGCTCTGCAAAGGTTTTTCAAAAACTGACATAGTGAAGGCAGACTGAGTCTCTCCGCCGCATCACTAAATAAATTTTCGGCTTGATGCGACAAAGCGCACAGCACCTTTGACGTGTCACTTTGGCTTAAGAGCACCGTTTCGTTCGTTCCCGAATAAACTTTAAGTATGGAGGTTATATTTGTGTTTGGACTTTGCAAAGGAGCTTGCAAAAAGCTGTAAACGTCCACACTACATACAAGAAACTATAAATTATATTTCTTTTTTGACACAAATTCAACTTACCAGGTTTCGTCATCATCAATCGGAATAGCAGACAAATTTATTTTGTCATTCTGTCCAGTTGAATTTAGTTTTTCACCTGTTTCCATATCTCGACGGCTTGTACCTGGTGAGGTTGAAACGGAAGGATTCTGCATGCTGAAAATCTCATGTTCCAGTTGACTTACATGGCGACATACAGCGAATATTGAATTCCAGCAGTCTGGACTGTAAGAACCCAAATTCAAGCCCCCAGTTAGCACAACATCCATTGATAATGCTTGGCTCGCAGATATACGGGGACCAGTGGTTTGGCAAACATTAGATGCAAGTAAATTTAATATCTTCCCAGCCAAATGTTGCAAATTCAAGTTATTGCTTAATGTTGCAGCCTTTCAAAAAAGATTTTATGAGCAAATTCATTCTATAAATAGTTTTACTTACCGAATGCAAACCATCTAAGCACAGCGCATATAAAGCTTCACCATTTGCTTTGTTGGTTTTCGATTTCACTCTCAATGTACGTTTCGACAGAGCCACTAGTTTATTACTTGCACTTGTGCTTTGCAGATCACCCAATCCGGAACTGAGTACAATTACCATTGATTCCCAACAACAGGTTAACAAGCGTCTGCAAAGCTTTTTTGCTGCATCCCTTCGCTTATTGTGCTGCTCGTCGGTATACTTAACATTTGCGGTCTGAAGTCGTTGCCATTCCGACAACATTTGGGTTGAGCCTAAACCGCCAGCGTCAGACAACATATCTACCAGAGCGCAGCGAGACGTTGTGCCTTCCATTTCTTCCTTACTCATCGCTTCCAACGCGTTAGAGACAATTACTGACTGATAAAGCTCACAAAGCCATGGGGATGATAAATACACTAACACACCAGTGTTTTGGACGGAAGTAACGAATTGTTGCTCAGACATTGGTATCAGGATCTCTTTTTGTGGGCTGTCATAGTATCCAGCTTTTTCAAGCTGCAATGTTAATAATAAAGCCGAGTATATTGCCAAATAAATGCCGTCAGCATTAATGGCTGTTAAGTTGTAGTCGAAATCAGAAAAAATGCTGTTCTCTTGACAAATGGCAGAAGCGAATTCCTGCATGGCTTCATCCACTTCAATGCAACTACGAAGACAAAGTAGTTTCGGTACCAGTTCTTTACGCAAAGCTCTCGCAAAGTCGCGAGCATGTTGGCGGTCGTTGTCTATATCTGCACGAATTGGTATAACTGGAGCCTCTAAATGAGAATATGGCCAGCGATTCTCCAAGCGAGAAAGTTCATCGCTAGATGTGGAAGGATCATCATCCTCTGGTCCCTCAGTATCGCCAGAACCAGCCGATGCTGCATCATTTTCATGATGATTGTCAGCTTCACTTTCCGAACCAGACGAAGGTTCAAAAACGTTTTGACGTAATTCTACAATAGCATCTCTATAAGGTGCTGGTAGTCGTGACATGGACTGGTAAGTTAGTGGTCCAGTGTAGTCAGCATCTTTGAGGTGCTCATGACGAGTATTGACGACGTTAACAATCTACGAAACAATAACATTAGAAAAGTAAAATTTGCAACAAACACTTGTTACCTGGTCACTTATCATAGATTCAGTCAGTTCTCCGGTGCAAAGAATTTGTAAACTCTCCAGCAGTGCGACCATGCATTCAACACTCGCTTGAAGACTAGCCTCAACGGCAACCCCAGAATTTACACCATAGGCACATTCTTCCATTGCATCAATCAATCTGTGAATGAAAAAAAAATGTTGTGGGGTCAATAAAAACATGTAAACTCACATATATATAAATATTTATAATTTATTAGAAATATTTATACGAAGACAGAAATACGAATAAAACATACAATCGGAATAGTGCCATCTCATCACTGCAGCTCTGTCCAGTATTTTTGTCCACATAGAGTATAACTGCAAGATCTATTAATCGCTCTGGACTCTTAAATATTTCTCGCACACATTTAAGAGGCTCAGTACGATTCTGCGGTGCTGGTAACAATAACATGCGATGAAACAATGCCTCCAACATAGGACGCAATGAACCATGAGCTCCAGCAATGCGTAATAACTGTATGCCAGTTAAATAAACGCAACGTGCTTGTGGTCCATCCAATCCAGGCCCAGTGAAGAAACCTCTAGCCTCATTTTCGATGATATGTAGAGCATCTCTGGAAATATTTTTCCAATTACATACTTTATTACAGTGCAGAAAAGGTATATATCACTTACTTGTAAGTAAATTTCTTATCTAAGTTTACACGTCCAGGAGATCCTAGTGCTGCTGCCAGAGTAGGACAGAACTTCTGCCACAAGAATGAGGTAAAATGTGGATTGGCATGTACATTTCGCGGCAGAGCGGAAGTCAATGTCAGTATGCACTCAGTAAGATAAAGTGAACAGTTGTTATCAATCTTCTTATTTGGCGAATTGTTAACGTTAGGTTCTACCAAACGGCTGCACAGCCACTGCATAACTGGTATGACTTCGTTATAAACGGCCGATGCCTGTGTTTGAGTCATCAGACCAGCTGGTGCAGTTTTTTTAACTTCTTCTGCTTCTTCTATGAGAAAAGCGCAAAAAGTCCGCAAACATTGTGAAGCAGCAGCGAGAGACGCCGCTTTTATGGCTCTTGAACCCAATTCCCAGCATTCACCGCAACGAGAGAGAATTTCAATTAATAGTCGTCCGTTCAAAGTGCAAGCAGGTGAGCAAGCCATTGCCAAAAATATGCGAAGAACATTCACTACTGTTTCCTCGCTGCTTGTTGTGGGTAAAATTCCATTTGTGGCACGCAAAAGTTGAGCTGGTAACCAAACCGAATCATCTTCGGGCTCCAAACCGATATAGAAACGTTCATCTTTGATAATTCGCTGTGGCAAAAAATATTATAAAATATTTTCTAGTGCAGGCGTGTGTAAAAGGTAATTGTATTATGTATATATCTATATGAGTAGAAACTAACATCAGAGAATCAGGTAACAAATTACAATAAAGATATAATTCTATAAAAAATATCTCTATGCTCAAGTTGGGTATGCAAACCCACACAAAAAATCTATAATCGGCTTTTATCAGATTGCTTAGAGTTTGGCAAATGGAGAGGCCTTAATAGCCTGAGTAGAAATGAACCCATTAGCTATTTGCACACTAATATAATAAAAAAGCATTAACACATTAAATATTTGAAGCATTTGCATATCTAGGCGATTAGTTCTAGAATTATTCGGTTTTTTAACTACATGCAAATTCCACTTTCCCATTGAAGTTGCATAAATCAAATAGAAAAATAACTGGAAATGAAACAGATTGCATTTCTGCTTAACGTCAATTTTTCAACTACTAAAAGTAACATTTTTCTTGAAAAAATTCGTCTTATTGTAAGATAACATCTCTATAGCTTTAATTCTTTGAAGTTTTCCTTTTCTTTCTCCAATTCCTATGTACTCATATATATTACAATTTTTACTGCTTCTTAACTTACATGTAACCCGTTCAGACCCATCGTAATAAATTTCGGTCGTTTGGTATCCAAGGCCATTTGCAAAGCTGTGAAGCAAACCGAGCGCAGCTCATGTGAAGGATCCCTGTGCATACCATGCTGTCTATATAATTTATCTATACAAAGGAAAAATAGTTTATTTATTAAAAAATAAATACTTAAAAAATTTTTAATTAAACTCCTAATATTACCATAGGCAATTTGTGCTGTTTGCCGCAAGGCATTATGCTTGGTGCCTGTCGACTCTTTAATGACCAGAAGGAATAAGTCTTCCATATTGCTAGCAGTTATGTTGAGAACTGCTTGTAAGATAAATTACTGCGTATTTTCAGCTTACATATAATCCCTAATGTACTGTGAGCAGAAACAAAATATAATCAATAAAAGTCAGCAGCTGCATATAAGAACCAAGTGGTTGTCCTTTATGGCTGAAATATAGCTTCTAATATTAACTGCCAATATATTTTCACATAAAAAGTATTTAATTGCACTACTCGTTCCAAAAGCACAAATATTTATATCATATTGAAGAATATTGTTAGAATTAATATCTTATACTTTCTATTGAGTTTCTGCAGTTGGAGTGACTCAACGTAGGAAAGCTTGATACATTTTTTTCGCAACGCAGTATGTATTCCTTTTCATTTCCCTTGAAAATTTTCGCTTCAACTTTTAGACTTCCACTAATTTAAGCCATTTGAACTGCCTTTTCAAATTAATTCCATTAAATATATTAAAAAAATATTTCATTATTTTTTGAACATATTGAATATTTATTTATTTTTTTTTTCTTAATGAAACTTAAATCCGATAAACTTTTTATCTTCGGTATCGTTCACTGGTATTGTCCTAAGCTAACTGAACTGTTAAATGACGTTAGTCATTGTACATGACAGAAAAACGGAACCGGAAGTGCGCATGTACCGCAATTGGCGAAATTTTCTTTTCGTGTGTGGTGGAAAATCAATAAATGCCATTCACCGCCAAAATTTTCTTTGGTTTTTTGGTATTTTCCCACGCAACATATGTTTTCACTATTTCAGCCTTTGTGTTTGGTTTTCGCATACTATTGCATATTTTTTGGCGCTCTTTGTTGTTATTGCTACTTACTATCAACATGTGTACATTACTACAGGAATAATTTAATTTTTTCACTTAGTTTATGTATTTTAATAAAAAAAGTATGTAAGTATTTAGAATTAGATATATAATTATATTTTTAAGCATTTGAAAGCATTTTATATTACAATGGTTGAATAGCTATTATTAAATATCACTACAGGTGGTTAATGGTAATCAATTATTCAAACTCAATATATACACACGTGTTAGGAATAAAATTTTGTATACATTGCGCAAAATAGATGCGGTAGTAAGAAGAATTTGGTAGGAAGAATATTTTTGTTTATACTCGTAATAAGTTTGTTTATAAATAGAAATTAAATTGTTTTGTTTTTCAATACCTGGTCATTTGTATGTTTTTATTCTTTTATAAAAGAATAAAGACAAAAACAAATGCGATTATTTGAAATGAATAAAAAAAATGTATTGCATACTTTTAATGCTGTCAATCCTTTTGTTTTTTAAAATGGCAGGAGAAAGAGATTGCTTTAATATTTTTATTTTTTTGGATCAAACTCAAATTGAGTTAAACATTGTTCATACCTTGTTTTAGCTGCCATTATAAGTGCAGTGATTTATATGAACAATAATTTAATGGAAACTTTCTAAAAAAAAGATATGTGAAATTTGAACCATTGTTTGATTAAAGAACCTCTGTAAAGCAGAAGGCAAGTACTTTTCAAGCCACAATTTTTTTATGTACGAAATAAGTAAAATATACAAAACACTAGTAAGAAAAATATTAATGCATGAAGATGATATGTGCGGACCATTACGATACAGATCATATCGATATACTCCACATAAAAGCACAACGCTTCGCTACGTAAACTATATAGTCTGTAGAAATATGCTAATTCTCCACAATAGTAATAATAATGACTAACAATCCCTTTTTCATGCGAGCGAGAGTGCCAAAGATACGTTGGCGTGTTGAGGAGGCAACACAACCTCATCACGTGTTGCGTTTGCAACATTTTCTTAACTGAAATGACAATGAACTCAGAAAAATATACTTAACCCGACACCGCACGAATGACACGCTAATAGAACTCAAATAGGACCCGGTCAAAAAATACATAGAGGAGAGAGCCCTGAAGCTATACGCGAAAACTAACAGGCTGCCGTGCGAAGCGACATACATATCTTAGATCAGTCATCGAATAATCAACGAAGCTTGTGAGGAATACAGAAATTAGTTAATGAAATGAATGGGACTCTGTAGAAAACCCCCAGCTACGAAAGAGTAAAAGTGTCCAGTTGCACTAACTCGAAAAAACTTCAACATAAGACATAAAACTCCATCTTAATTACTTAATATCTCTCCATATAATCGGTCGATGCATCTAAATTACCAACATACAAAGCACCTTTTGTTATTGTTAATCAGTTTTAAATATCCGCTTGCCCAATTCACTAAATTTTTTCTTTCGGGCTATGACGACTATGAATGCATGTTATGCAAAGTGACACATCAGTTTGTCAATTTTGTATTTTTACTATTACTTTTACATAACTTTTTAAGAAAATATATACGCACATACATACATACATGTAATATGACTTCGACTGAGATACGAGACACAGTAGCCTTGTTTCTCATTACCAAATTTAAACCAACATTTGTTTTTTTCTCTCCCTCTCAGTTTTAATTTGCATTGAAATCAACAACAATTTTGATCTTGACGTGCTCCTGATACTTTACATAACATGGGTACTAACTGCTCTATGATTATTTGTTTCTAATTTTACGAATCCATGCTTTCATAAAGGTTTTAACGAATCTATCCCTCAAGTTGATGAGGTTAAAAAATACTGTTCATAAAATGTTAAGTGATGAATATTACATTTAACAGAATTTACTTAATAATTTTAAAAACTTAAAAATAAATCCAGTTGATTGCTTAAATTTTAGAAAATAAACAACAAAATTCACATGAATTGTAAAAAAGATTTCACCTAATACACATTAGGTAGATAATTGTTTATTTATATATTACTACAGAATTTTCTATTTAATAGGTTTCATTTTCCATAGACCATCATTGAGATAATGTAAGTTTTCAACGCCAATTCCTTTGTTTACTGTTGCACTGCATTAAAATAAAATCGATATTTAAAATATGTTTTTTTGACAGTTTATTAAATAATTCTTACATATCTTCCGTGGACAATGTTGTAACGCCGATGGCAATAGCATGTTCTTTTCCTTCTGCCATAATAGCAACTACTGTACCTTTGGCAGCTGGACACATTAAAGCACCGGGTGAGGTTAGGCCCGGACACATTATATTTGCGCCGCTTAATACAAACCGTATAGCGCCTTTATCAACTTGCTGCATCGTAACAAAAAATGGATACTTGTGCAGTAAACGTAAGGTTGGCATCCACTGCCCTTCTCTTTGCCGAAAGAAAATTTGCTCACCAGTTCCGTTTAATAACACCTCAATATGGTCATGACTATAAAGATACATTTGCAGATCACACCAATATAAAATTAGATTTCATACCATTTTGCGATTCGGTACAAATCTTTTTTAGGTAGTACAGCATCTATGTGTGATTCTAGAAGAGGATATGTTTCCAATAATTTCACGCGAATTCCTTTTTGTATAGACGATTTAAGTTGTTGGACTGACGACACACTCTCTTTCTCTTCAAATCTTGTATATTATTTTTTTATAACATTATTTGAATAAAAATATATATCACAAAAGTCAATACTTACTTCTTAAACATTTTATTTCGTATCTGGCTTTATAAATTTTACAAAAAATATTCGATATTTCTATACAGACAGACAACAACAACGCAAACGTCAAACAGTGCGATTATCGGTCTTATATTTCAGAGCTAAGCACGCAACAAATTTTAAGTGTTGTAAAATTCTTTCCCAATAGGTTAAAACATTTTCTAATAATGCATATCATTAATTTCCAATTAGTACAGTTTAAATTCGATGTTAATAAAAAATCAATCTTTTAAAAACTGAAAATGTTACCAAATTATAATACATAATATGTTAAATACATAAAATGTTAAATAAAATCATATTAATTATTGTTACAGTTATACGTTACCGTAAAAGTGTTAGAGTTATTTCTACATCACTAAGAGGTAGCATATTATTTAGGTATAAAATACCCCAAATGTATAAACAAACATGGAATTATCATTTGGTGAATTTAGCAGAGAAAATATACTGCAGTCATTACAAGAGGTAAAGTATTTATTATAAAAACTTTTTTTATGTGCTTGAATTGTTTGTTTGTTATAGCGACACATCAATTTGCCGGATGCAGATCGCCTAGATTTCGAAGAACTTTTGCGTATATATAAAACATTCATGCTGCCTTTGGCAAAAAGAGAACGAAAAAGCAAATTGAGCAGGTGCAAAGCGTTCCTTCAAAATGAACATACAGCTAATTTTAAACAAAACAATATTAAACACATACTTAGGAATAGTTTCGTTGAAATGGATATCGACGAAGAAGAAAAAACTTCTGAAGCGCATGGGTCTGTGTCAAGGAGCATCTCATCAACGACATCCAAGCCCAATAAGTCACATTCGTTGGAATTGCATCGCACTCAGGGATGGTGGAGTGATAAAGATTACAATGCATTAGAAGCTTTTAATAAGGCTATTCAAGAAATTCCAAATAAACTATGTCATCGATATTCAAATAGTAATGAACCATTTAACTCATGCAGAAAAAGACAAATTCCTAACGACGAAGTTAATCTAAATATGAATGAATATCTTTCCACGGTGACGAAAAGGATCAGAATAATTAACACTTAATTGTCACCACTATAAATGTGATTTAATCTATTGTTAAAATATGAAAACAAAGCATATTCTAGTGCTGTTTACGGGTCTTTGAAAGTGGAGATATAAAACGGAGGAGCATGGTGGCGAAAACACTAAATGATAATTAGTTGGCGCTTAATGATTTGCAGTATTAAGATAAATATTTTTATAAAAGTTCGATTTAATTTTTAATACAAAACAAAAAAACTTCTCATTTTACTATGCCTGTTTCTATTCATTTTTTGTCTTCTTAAATTTTAAATAGTCTGATGGTTTTCTAAGGTGGTTGAAATAAAGTTATATTTTGAATGAATGCATTTTTTTATTTCAGACATATGTCAACATAAATGGTTGCCATATTAACAAGTTTTTTTATTTTTACCGAGCTTAGGTCCCGTTTATTTAACACATAAAAATGATAAAAAATTACACTCATTAATTTGTGTTATTATATATTTAATGTGATTTAATTCATATGAAATTATTTGTACACAGTACACAGTTTGTGAGGAAAGTAATCAACTTCGATTAATTAAAAAAATAAATTATTTGTTTAATGTTATTTTAATAGCTCATCTGTGTTCAGTTGCAGTAAAAATAAAACACATTAAATCATCTTATACAAGTACTGATATATCTAAAATTTTCAATATATACAAAGTTTTAATGGAGTTTCTTTTTGCTGTGAAAATAGAAAAAAAATAATTTTGATATATATTTTAGCGTCAATGGAATTTTAAGACGAAATTATTGCATGACAAAATTTGCAGATGTTTTTATATATATTACTATATGAGTCTTAATCCGGTTTTGTTTTTTCGAGAATTTTAATTTTTATTTCGAGCTTTAATTTTTTGTGGATTTTTAAACATATACCATATGAGTATAATCATAATTTTCACATAAAATTATTTTTATAAATATGGCATCACTAAATTAATAAAAAAATTTTCAGTTTTGCGACATCAGCTGACTTTTTAACAATCTGCAGTTGCTAGCAATCCAAATATAGTTTTTTAAGAACGATTCCGTTAAATCTTCAAGTTAAGCGAAAATAGTTTAATATGGAAGATGAAGCATTGAATTTATCACTCATCAATTTAGTAAGAAAATATGAGTGCTTGTACAATCCAGATCATAACAATTACATGAAAAAATCGAAAATTGATGCTGCTTGGAATATTATATCAAATAAACTGAATAAGCCTAGTAAGTATAAATAGTTCTTATAATTGATTTACATTTGAAATATTGTAAATATACCGTACAATAAATTTTGTTTAATACTATTTTTATTTTTTTAGCTGGTTGGTGTAGAGCAAAATGGAAAAATATACGAACTGTATATTCGCGACATATACGTGAAGAAGTGTTAGGAGGGGTAAATAAAAAGAGAAAATACTATTTAAGTGAGGCAATGGATTTTATTGTACCATATACAAAGTTTAGTCGACAAACTGAAAATTATATATCAGATATAGTGAAAAACGAAACAATCGAATATTTAAACTCTGATGAAATTCCATTTTCAGATTCCAGTAATTATTTTCAAGAAACTAATTTCAGTATACAAAAATTGCATGAACAAGCGGTATCAGAAGATATTGACAATTGTCAAAATAATAGAAACGACGATAATGGTTTTCAAAGCTTTTTCATGGGTATCTTGCCAGACATATCGCCTCTAAATGCAAAACGCAAAAGATTCTTAAAAATGAAAATTTTGGAATTAATCAATGAATTAAATGAAGAACAGGAATCTGAAGAACATTTTATTTCATATGAAAGTGAAGAATCATTGTAATTTATGGAAATTGAATGCAAGGAATACAAATATGAGTAGGAGTAGGAGTTATCTTCTGCTTACTGATTAAATATATAAGCATTAAAAGTACTTATATTTATAGCTTATGCGTGTGATATTGTTCTTACTTATATTTATTATTGCATTAATAATAAGTGCAATAAATACAAAGTAAATATTTTTACTAATTATTATAACAGTAATTAGTACAACATTAAGTATTAATTTATGTATTATTATTTCAAATTAAAGTATTACAATATATATATGAACTTCCAAAGAACTCAATCTTCCCAAAGAAATAAATAGTTCTAATAGTTATATAGAATAAACAAAAATTTTATCCATTTATTTCCTAATAATATATTTAAAAATATTTGTTTTATAATCTTGTATAAAACAAACAAACTTATTTTCAAAGTTTTTTTGTTATTTTAACCATTTTAATTATTTATAAATATATATAACAGTTTTAATTATAAAGCTAGTTTATCTCCTAGTTTATAAAGTTTGAATTAAATATTGTACTAAAACAGACAAATGAAAGTTTTAAGAAATTAAATATGTACATATACACATATATTTATATATATATATATATATATATATATATATATATATACATTCTTTTGTTTATATTCTATTTTTTGAAACATTATGAATAAATTTAAATTACTATGATATTGTATATTGAAAATTTTATTTTAATTCAATTTCACTTAGACTACATAAACTAACACAAACAGTTTTAAAAGTACACACTAAACTTAAAGTTCAACTCAATTTTATTAATTTTCTAGATCTTTTTAATTTCTTTTTAATATTATTCATACATATAATTTCTAGTATCATATATATTAAGTTGACGGCAATTGAAATAATTGCTCATTACTTATCATTTTTATAATTGTCTGTAAATATTATTGTACTTTTTAAATTATAATAGATAGTAAATTAGAAAAAATATTTTATTTTATTATTAAATTTGTAATAATTACAAACTTTTATAATTTATAAATAAAAGTAAATTTGTTTTATTGATGTGTTCTGAGTGGTATGTTTACGTTAGTTTGTTTAAGGTACAGAGTGGTGAATAACTTTAAACTAGGCGTTGTGGTTTAATTGTTCGTAATAATTTCAGTAGTACTAATGAAACTTTTCTTTTCCTTTAATGTTCTGTAATCGAATTTTAATATTACTTTGCCATTTGATTCTCGATAGAATACGTCACAAATCGAAACCTTTTCCCACAAAAATAATCCATTACAAAAAGTTAATAGGGTTATACATTACCAAACCACTTATTCTGCTTTTAATTAAATAGATTTTTTGTTTTTATATTAAATTTCAACATACTTAAATGACTAAAATTTACAAAAATCTATAAAAATAAACAATTTTTTTTATCTAAATTTAAAGAAAATATTATTTATCGTTTCTAAATTTAATATATTTTGTAAATTTGTTAGATATAAACGCTTTCAACATCTAAATTGTCTTTCATAATTCAATATTTCGTTTATAATACTGTGTTGTTGTAAATTACTAAGCGTCATATTTTAAGTACTAAAATATAAAAAATATTTTAAATAGTATAGTAATTTTATAGTAATTCAATTGAAAGAAAAATTAATACCCTTTAATGATACAGAAGTTAACTGACTAGAGTTAAATACAGTTAATACGTAATAACTTCAAATTTCTTTAGACAAACAAAATCTAAGAACAATAGAAAATAGAGAGAGTTTAACTCTAATATTTTATATGTAAGGAAAATAAATTTCATAACTCTATCTTAAATTTATAGATGACTATTTTTTGTGAAATTGTTGATATCTGTTATTGATTGTTAATAATTACAAAAAAGAAAAAAAAATAACATTTTCTTATATAATTATTTTACAAAAATATATTATTTTTATTCATACATAATTAACATATAAATCATATTTCAACACTTTTTTTCTTAATTAACAAATGTTAATAAATAAAAAATAATTAAGGCTGCTAGGGTCTTGTGCTTACAAGTATTTTATATACAAATATCTCATTAAGAATATTATTTATAATTCAATAAATAATTTTGGTAATTTTCCACATATTTTTGTTGCATAAAATTGATTTACACCAAGAATGAATTAAATTTCAACACATAAACATATACATATAAAGTTAAAACTGCTAATAAGGAAACAAATCTCATGACTTCATTATTAAGGCAATAAAAAGTTTGATGATGGAACTTCTGCTGTATGTGAAATGATTGCTGCTTTTAACAATAATAAAAAAAAATTGTTTACTTGAATTTCTTTTTAAACGGCTTCAATTAACTTATTTTAATTTTTTTATATATATGAACACAAAAATGTATAAAGAATAAAAAAATTTTAATACAAAACTCAGCCTCAAAAGTTCCAGATTATTTTTTGCGATTAGAATACGTATGAATAAACATATTTGCATAGCAACTAATACCGCAGTTTTTTCTATAAGTAAAAAATTTGTTCTACTGTCCTGCATAGTATAAAATTATCTTCAAAGCTAGCAATACTCTACTCCAATGGAAGTATTTGAATGCATGCATGCTTAATCAGATATGAATCTGATTAGGGATCGCTGAGATATATTATCATCTTTTAAATTTAGCTTTTAAGATTTGTAATAAGTAGCCACAAAGAAGTAAGTGCATTTTTAAAATTTACCGAATTCTGCTTTTTATTTAATTAATTTAAATTCAATTCAGTTATTGATCAATTTGGCTTTATTTGAACTCAAAATCTCTATTTCAATATCTGGATTAATTACTTTCATAAATTTAGTTGAGAGTTTTTTTAATGATACACATTTTTCACCTATATGACCTACAAGATTATTTCGAAGAAATATCATTTTAACTTATCAAGGAACTAATAGTAGATGATATATTTGATGATTTTGATTTTATTTGAATTGGAAAACTTTTTAATACTTTTAATACTGTTTTTTGATTTTACACATTTTCCCAACTATTTTTCATTACAGTGAAGAAGAAACGAAGAAGAAATTACTGTTAAGAAATATTATTTTAATTATTAATACGACTAATAGTTATTGGTGTTAATATATTTAAAATATACTTAAACTTTTTTGACTGAGTATGTAAAACGAAAATTAATGTAAGCACCATTCAGATTTAACAACGGGTTTTAGACTATTCTGACAACTTCTTATATCACGATATATATCAGTATAGTGTAGTTTTCTTGATATCGGATTTTTCATGTGAAAACCACCACGAGTAAGTAGACACATCAACTGGTATTCAAATAACTAAATCTACTAAAATCCGTTGCCTGACAAATTGAAACTCCATGGGAATCTAATATATTTACTTTTCAAAATAGTTTTAAATTGTAAATAACCATTAAGAACTTAACGAAGTTGGTGTAATATAACATACATATGTTGTATCCGAGAAGTCGGAACGCGTCGGAATCTAACATAATTACTTTTTAAAAGCATTTTAAATTGTAAATAGTAATTTAGCACAAGTTTTATAACAAAGTTGGTATAATATAACATATGAGCAGTTAATTTAGTTTTTATTCTACTTCCATTATTATATAGTCTTTTTGAGAATTGAAATGTGATCGTACAATTTGATCATATGTTAGTTGAAAATTGAATGTGTTCTTAGTGCTAAATGTTGTCACTTCCTTTTGCACTTAATATACTATTAAAAAGTTATAAAAGTGAATAAGGCGAGAACAGTCACATAATTAAACTTAAATAAACAATAAAGAATGTATCATTAATACAAAATTAATTATTGTTGATTAGCTACACATACATATAATTTTAGCAGATCGTTTAACTGCTTCTGTTATTTGGTATCTAATAGTCACAAAATAGCAGAATATAATGTTAATAATATTTTATTTGAAAATATACGTAAATTTTTTTAAATGCCTATTAATACTCGAAATTAAAGTCTAAACGCTACTTAAAAAAGTCCGTTGAGTCTAGAGTGCCAAAAAAAATGCGTTCGTTGTTCTCAACTACCGCATTTCTACTCTCCTTTACACCCGTCTTCTCCACCGATCTTCTACTCACACGGCCGTTTCGTGATCAGTCTCATCGATTCTGCCCAAACGCCAAGAGTTTGGATCGCCGGCTGCAAAAGTGTAAGCTCGTTAAAAATTTATGAATTAATGACGGCTACACCAACAACACCAACAACAGCAACAATAAACAACAAAAAAAAATGTGGCAATAAAATTTTAGTTAACCAAATATGAAGAACGATAAAATTCTTCTTATTATTTTTCAGTTCACAAAACGATAAATTATATGCATGCAGCATGGTACATTATACAAATTACGACATTACATATTCAAAATTTTGTGAAAGGAGAGGTGGAAAGGGCGGTTAATAGGATATTACTACCACTAAATATAGTGAGTGAATGTATTCATTGAACTGCTGAATATTTATGAGCGAATGTTGATTTTTGACACAATATGTATTGAAGAGTTCTGAGGAGCGGAAGAGGCAAGGAACAGAAGTTGGGCTAAATTATTAAATATTATTTCATTATTTCTGAAGTTGATTCTAGTTATGCAATAAATAACAAAATAGATAAATTCATACATATTTATTCATCAATTAAACTACTGAAATAAAAAGAAATCCATAAGCGCTAAACTTACCGCAGTCGTAATACTTTGAAATCCTTGGCAGAGCTGAGAATATGTTTGTGTAACAACATTTTTAAAACAATCAATCGAAAGGAAAATAATGAAACAAAGTAAAAAGAAAAATGAATAAATTAAAAAAATATTTTCACAAACATGATATATTCACTGTGTCAGTTAATGAATGATGAACGCAGAGTGAACTCATTTTATGAACGGAACATGTTCAAAATAAATAATTGAAATGTGTCAAAATTTCAAAGCTTCAAGCGCAATAAAAACGTTGACTTTCGAGCCAAGCCAAAGTCGCTTGCGTGTTAGTGTCAGCCATTTTGTTTCCAATTGCAAAAGCAATTAAATGTGCCAAATTGTCAAATATGGCAACAAATGTGTTTTTATTTGAAATTAAATTATTTATTTATTATTTTGCATTTATTCATGCTTGTTGATATTCTTAACATTATTTTGCAATATTTAACAGAATTTTAACACAACACAACACAGGAAGTTAAAAACATTTATTAGTGAGTGCTTTCGTTATTTATCGTTTATTGTTATAAATAATTAACATTGGACTGCAATCAATGCACCTGACAACAACCGTTTTAAATGCGTTGAGAATAAATAAGGCAAAGAATTAAAACAAATCTGGTATAAACTAAGAATTAAATTTTTTCACCTATAAGATTTTCTACTGAGAATGCTATTCTATTTCTTTTCACGGGAATCTGTACTGAAATTTGAAATAGTACTCTATATCATTTCATCGTTATAAACTTAACTTTATTTAAAAATATATAATAATTTATTAGCAGGATAATTTATACAGATAAAAGTATAAATTATTCTAAAAATTTTTATTTAAAATTTCTTTTTAAGCTTACTTTAACACTATGACCACCAACTATGAGAAAGTTCACAGTTACGGTATTGCTTATAACTCCAACTATAGGTTTCCATCGACCTAATTTACTTGACAGTTTACTTGACATCATACAGTTATGATGAAATTCAATGGTTTTTATGGTTAAAACCATTGTGATAATTTTAAAAACAAATCTTGACATAAATGGCTGACTTTCTTTACATGTTAAACAGAAATAAGATTTATTTAAATTAGTTTGATATAATGCATTAAACTGGCTTCTCACACCAGAATTTTGAGAAGACCGTAGCAATTAACGTATATTACTATGTTTAGACAGCCAAATTTTCTTAAGTTTGTAAAAATTAAATTAAGTTAATTTCGAAAATGTTCATACCGGCCCAAATTAAGGAAATTATATGTTCTTTGTTTACAAATCGAATGTTAAAATGAAATTTTAAATTTTAAAAGTTGATTGTTATAACTATAAAGGATGACATTCAATAGTTTTATTCGCTTTAGTGGGTTTGATATATGTGAATTATTATTTTTCACTCTATTTTAAATTAATAACAGTTATAATTCTTTCTCTATATTCAAATTTAAAAATTTGCAGTACTTTCAAAATATTTCCCGGTTTTGTTGAAGTGAATTGCCATTGACATTTATTTAAAAAAAGTCACTTTTTGGTTATCTCAAGTTTATTTGAGATGCATAGTTCAAATGCATAGTTGCATTTGAAATGTCTCTTAATTTCAGCCTTCGTTTCAACGAAATTAAGGTCATTTTCCTTCATTTCGTTCTAACCTCAAAATTGAAAATGAAAAACGAAAATGAAATTAAGATTTTTGCAAAATTAAGGTGTGTCTGCACATAGTATATAAAAGTTTATTTTATGTCATTATAAACAATCTTAAATACCCTCCAAGTCTGTGTCATCTAATATGCTTACCTTCCTACTAAATAACAGAAATTAAACTGCAGCAAATGATTGCAGTGTTATTGCCATATAAAAGAAACTACTATAAGACTCTTCTTATTAGTATCCAAAAAAACATTAAATTATTTTCTTATAATTCTGTGATATTTGCTTTTAAAATGCTTTTATAATTTGTTGACAATTTGTTTGAATAAAATAAAAATTATTTAAGCTTGAACTGTTATAATACTAATAAAATAAATTCCATTAGAATCACAATCATGTGTGTATACATTTTAGTTTATTGAGGTTAATATTTTTAATACATTTACACAATAAATTTTAAAACAAAATAAATAAAAAACACAGTAACAAAAAGATTTATGGATTTAGTAACATGACAATGCCGAATCTTGAGGTGGGTGAGTTCAATTGAGATAAATTTTTCTGTAAACCATCAAAGCACAAATCGTTTTGTTACATGAATTACACATACATATATTTATTAAAGTTAAGCTATATATTTAATATATTTCGTTTATATTTGGTATAATTTAATTCACATTAGCAATTAGTTAATTTATAGTTACAAAAATAAATTACATAAATATTAGCTTTTAATATTCATTTTCCTATTTATGAACACACTCAGAAACAATTTTCTTTCTCTTTTCGTAAATATTTTAATTTTCAGTAGGAATTAAATAAAATCTATATAATTCACAATAATAAGTGTAAACACTATGTGATGCGTTATTGTTTAAGAGTAATTGGTTTTGAGCGTGTCCTTAAGGACGGCATCACAACATAAATGCAAAAAAATTATAATCTTAAGCAATAAAATTTACTTCAGCTAATAAATGTTTAAATCTTGTGCGATTAAAGCGATTGCTGGGGTTTAAAATCCTAGTATATCATAAAAATGATTAATAGTGCGTTCAAGCTGACATTTGTATTATAATAAAGCTCATTTATTGTAATAAAATGTATTTATTATAATAGAAGTTTGGTAAATGCAATGCAATTGTTGTTGCAGTGATAGATTAAATACAATTAAAACGCAGATTTGTATTTGAACCTCGCATTAATTGAATTATTGTAGATCATTCTGCAATCCTAATTGACATGTGTCAGAAATGAGCAAATAATATATAGAATGAAGTTAAATGGAATAAAAACAAAATTATATGTTTTATTTATCATAATATATAGAAATAACAAGTGTGAACGCCTATTTCGAAAAAATCATATTATTTTTTTTTATAAATAGATGTCAGGTTGATTTAGATGTAAAGTAAACTGGTTGGGTTGGACATAAAACGCTCGCTATATAGATTGCTAGTTGCCACCACAGAATGTTTAAGCCATTGCGGACCACCGTGTGGTGCACTATACGGTTAGCTTTGAATATTTTTTTAATATTCAAACAATATTTTATCTTTTTTTAGGAATATATAAAGTGAGAGTAATATTTCAAATAAATATTAAGCTCTTCTCATTTACTTAAACTTCCATCATTTTACTATTTACTATGGAAATTTCACCGTAAAATTGTAAGCCTGAAATTGCCTCGAACTTTATGGGTTAACCAGCACTTGAAGTGCTGAAGCAACAAGATCTTTGATCTCTACGACTTGGTGACGAGTTGTTCTCAATCATCACATTGGGATTGTTCTGAAAATGAACATTCAATGAATCCAGTATGGTTAGTCATGTCGTGGGGGACGAAAAAACTGGTGTAAATCGGATGTCTGTGGAAGAACACGTAGAGCAAGCCAGTGTCTCTGGTGGAGTGTTCAAGTTAAGGGAGCACTGAATAAGGTGCTGACGTAGCAACTTGAGAGAAGGACTGCATTAGTCCGAAAGCAAGAAAATGGTTTATTAAAGTAAGTAAGCAATGCTAACTTGAGTGCGATATAAATTTAAATTGTGTTTATATCGTTTTTAAAGCAATGTGCTTAGCAGCAGGAGAATTAACATATTATGATAGTAAAAGTTGTTAGTCTTTAATTTCTTCGAGTTATTATTATTATTTTTTCTTGTAGTTACTAACTGTTACGAAGCCATATACAAAAAATAAAAATAAAAAAGGAAACCAAATTGAATAATATTTTTGAAAATATAAATATGCACTAATTGGAATACGAATATTCTAATAAATAATTAATTTGTTTGCATTTATGCCATGGCCGTTTTGAGAGAAATAAGTAGTGTTAAGTTCAAATAGAATGAAAATAGGTGTTAAGTGTGCTGTTGCTTTCGTTTTCAGTGGCTATTTAGCATGGAGATGTTAGCTCTTTGTAAACAACATTTTTGATATTTGTTCGCGCGGAAGCGTTATTGCCTGCAGCAGTGTCACTCGTTAGAGTGGGCGACACCAAACGTATGGGCTTAGTGGAATAAGTACGCCCAAGTAAAGGCACATGCTCCTCTAAAGTATTGTAGAACAACATGAAGAACAATAAAAAAGAAAGAAAAAGGAAAATAAATAATTAAAATAATACAATTGCATAAAAATGTGTAAAAAGTCAATAAAAAACGAATTAGTATTAATGTGACAGATTTGCTAAATTAAATTTAAAATATTAAAAATGTTTAACTTTGTTTTGTTTTGTTCTGTTTTCTTTTTAGTAGTATTTTTCATCAACAAGTTAAGTCGTTCTTAAAAAATTAATAGCACATACACGAAAATAGCATAAATTTACATGCTTTTAATGGAAAGCAAGTATATTAAAAACATTCATACAAGTTTTATTAACAAATTTAAAGCTTGCGCACATCAGCATTTACACAAATTAACAGTAACGACAAAAATTACTTTTTTAATGAATACGTGATGTAACAATGCATTTAAATGATAACGAATACGAAACGAGAAGTGATTGCGGGGATCACGACATACCTTGTAATTGCCTATTAATTAAAGCTGTTAAACCATGACCCTCCACACTTTTCTTCATTATAAGCATAGGTTTATCTTCGCCATCGTCATAGCCACCTGAAGGCAGAAATCCGTTGCTTGCAATTGACTCGCTAACCTGAAGCAAAGAAAAAGAAAATAATAAAATAATAATAAATACTTATTATAATTGGTATTACTGTTATACTAATATACATATAATATAGGGGTTTGATTTTTTTAACGACACTTGAACAACTGCAGCTAATAGCATTTGGTATTACTGTTATACTAATATACATATAATATAGATTTAAAAACTTAACGATACTTGAACTACAGTTAAACCCAAGGTTTATTACGGCACTACTAGCGATTGACATTTAATATATTTTAACAATCGATTCTTATATTATCTACATATTATTTATTAATCTAAGAATATAAAAACTACTGTAGTATAACTTTTAAGCTCAGTGTTATTTTTTTCTTAATATTATAAAGTTCAGTCTATCATCTTTTAGAAAAAAAAATATGTACTACCTAAAGCATCAGGAATTATGTTGTCAAATTTCATGATCAAGGCTCATCCACCTATTAAACATATACTAATTACGTACCAAGTCAGCTTATTTCGAACATGTGTTCAAGCTACAGATCTATACATTATGATCTCACCTAACTGTTTAATTGTCTCGTTATGCATACAAATCTGCATGTCTATTTAAGGTAATAATATTCAAGTTTTTAATGAATTCAAGTTAATCTTCCCATCCTTTTCTCATACACTACCTTTAATTTTCATTACTTTATTTACCTAAAATCAAAACAACAGTTGTAAAATTATAATATATATAATAAATCGATATGAATTACTCAATTATGATGGTTGGTTTTTGTAACAACACGTTCTGATATGAAATTCTAATATTCATAACCAATCCCAACCACGTACATTGGAGTTTTGTTTTGGAAGAGTCTTCTAATTACTTTGTGACTATTTTTTCCACAATTTTATTTCACTGACCTCAACTGAATTTTGTAATACTTAGCTTTAATTTTATACTGTCGTTATATTCCGCGAAAAATCTGCTCTACTGTCGGAAAAGATTATAATCTATTAATTTTGAAAATACTTTTCTAAAATCAATCGATATGCTAGATTCTAGACACCAGACTAGCTCGTAGAGTAACAATATCTCTTATGTTCGATTTATGATAGTTAACAAATAATGTATAGAATATTATTAAATTAAATATTAAATATTCTGAGAAAAATATAATTTGATGTCGAATTTTGTTCAAATACAATATCAGCAGCTTTTTGTCTTTAAAAAAAAATAATTCGATTTCTCTTCACACCAATCAATACCATCAACATCAAGTGAATACCATACTTTTTTTAAAAAATTATTTTTGTACACAATCATTTTCTCTTTTTATATAACAAAAAAAGTTTTATTAACTAATTTTTACCTACCTGTGTCACTTGCATCAATTTCTTAACTACATCTCGTCCTAGTATATGATCGAATACTGATTGCAGAAATGGTTCTGCCATAATGGATAACTTTAACTTGTCACGATGCCAAATTAACACACGCGATTCTTCCATAGCCATTATGGATACCTTCATTGTATATCAATTAACATATTTAAAATAATTATGTAGAACTTAATAAAATGTTACACACCTGAAAATAATCGTCGGTAGAAACACCAAACCATTCCGGTGAATCTAGGAACTGATGAGGAAACACTATATGTAATGCTCGTTGATTTTGTGAAACAACTAATCTGTAATTATACAAATATTAATATAAAAAAATATTTATCTTTATAGTGTTAAAAAATAGATTTACTTGATTTATTACTTACTTGCCAGATAGCACTAATGATAGACTGTCCACTTTAGTGACTTTTTCTTGAGCATAAACTTCCTGATATTTAAGGGAACGTATCAGTTTCATACAATTTAAAATCTTCTTAAATTGATGCCTTGTGACACGTAGCGGTTTAAAGAGTGAGGCGTAAACCTAAAATAACATAAAGAAATTGTAACCCAATTTTATTAATTATTATCAAATTATTTTCAATATTTTTTCCTAATAAATAACATTAATATTTAAGATTTAAAATTTAGCATAGACTAAATTTTTTGTGATTCATCACAGTTTAAAGACTTTGGCCCATGAATCATACTTCACGAAAAAATTACTAATTTTATATATATGACGATTATTATTACGATCAATTATTTTTTTTTGATTGGAAAAACCATTAGAAATAGCGTTAGCCGAACATTTTTTGTTTTGAATCATTGTAATTGTAAAAATATTTTTAGCTGTGGGTTTTTGATACAAATTTATCGCAAGGCAGACATATCCTTTCGGTCTTAAAAAGTTATGAAAGTTCATATACTAATATTATTATTCATTATTATTTAAGTACCTTCGACGGCAATAAACGGGTTAGACAAAGTAAAAAGAATTTACTTTGGTATTATTATTAATATTTAATTTATAGATAAATATTTCATTAGTTGTTTTAAAAAGTTAGCAAGTCAAAGATTAAATACAAATGTTTATAGATTAAATGTGAAAATAATTCAAAAATCGAATTATTTATTTTTACAATTCAGTATATATGAATTACATATCAATTGATGTAAATATTGGAAGCTCAAGTGGTAACACGATGTTCCTATGGATCTATTGTTAGCCTTATGTATTAAATATTTAAATAACATTAAGATTAATGAGTATTCGAACTAACAGATATTTTTGTAAAGTAAAGTCTAGCATGTACCTATATTAAATCTCGACTACGTATGAACAGCATGTTCTAAACAGCTGAGGGAAAAATTATCGAATATAACATTCAATCTTCTATCATGGTTTGCTTATATATTTCTAACGATATACCTAGATTATTCCGATGTTTCGAAACTGTTCCTGTGACATTTTAACTGGTAAGCTCATTTGCATTACAATTAATTGAGTGCTATAAAATACAGAACTGCGTCGATATATTGTTCCATTATAGGTCCGTTAGGGTCAAAAATCGTCCTACAGTCTTATTGAAATCTATTTATTACTTATTTCAAAACAAGCTATACATGGAAAGAGATTGAAAGCGAGGAGGAAGGTTCAAGGCACAAATTTTTTATTATTTTGAAACCAAAGAGGATTATTTTCAATTATGACAGCCTAAAATCTTCTTTAAGTGATTAGGGAAGTAAGTACGTAAACATTACATTACCTATAGGTATGTTACATGTATACGGACCAGGGCACATAAGCACTTCTTGGTTACGAAAATAAATTTATAACTTTCTTCCAAACAATAACTTTCAATAAAATCCAACTAAACTGCAATAATTTTTATAAAATCTTTATCTATACCTTCATCTATAAAGTATATGTAAAAAGTAAAGAAAAATTTAATTACCTGTTATAGACGATTGTTATCCGACCTACTACACCTGTACTAAAATCGGTCTTTTGATCTTTCATATTGAATGCATAGTTTTAATTTGGTATACTTGAGATTTGCATATAAGTCAGATCTTTTGATTTCATTTTAAAAATTTCAACATCGAACGATCTTAGTATTAGAATATAAACAATAAATTCCAACAAAAACAATTAAGTTAAATTATTTAATTTTATCTACAACTACTTAAGTGACAGTTCTTTCATTCTTTTTATTTTTAATAATAAAATTGGAAGCTATACGCAAATTAAAAATAAATAACAACAAAATGTTTTAGGAATAATATTTTTTAATAATTATTAACAAATCATATGCGATTTGGCATTATTTTGAATAAACACTAATACGATTGTTGAATAATTTTAGCGGTAAACTGGCAAATGTTAACAAAATTCTAAAAGATAAAAAATTAATTATTATTCATAAAATTTTCGAGACATTTTAAAATGTTTTTATTGTTAATTTTATGGGTAGAAAAATTGAACAAAAAAAAATAAAAACGAAAGCTCAACACAGTTGGAAAATTATTTATTTACAATAAAATATCGTCTCTTCATAAATGAACGACTTTTAAAGATATTAAAAATTTATGAGCCGAATGTTCTTTGTCAGGTTATCATTGATTTTATTACGATCCATATTAAACGCAAGATATGATTGGCAATAACATAGTAACTGTAGGACTCACATGCAAGCAACCTGAGGACAAACTATTGATAATTCAACTATTGTATTAGATTTACACTGATTGTTCCAGAAAAGAAATATGAACTTTCAGCAAACTCTCAACCTAATTTTAAATATTTGTTTTCTAATACCGATAGAACAGTAAAGCGACATGTTCATCTACTAAAGTCTTCTAGCCTAGGTAACCCCCTAAGTGGTGTTAAAATTTAAATTTTAACAGCTATCAGCACCGGACCCTGTCATATGTTGAGACACATGAGGAATGGGTATAATATTGAATGCTGTAAATGTTGAGAAGTCTATCTTAAATAGATATATTATAAAATTACAAGTTAGAAAGAAGCTGTAAGATCTATTTGTCGTGCATGCACATTTGCACGTATTTGAATAAAAATGACTCAAAAGTTTCATAAAATCTATATCTGAAATTATATTGAACACATGTTCAAAGTAATCGATACTGATAAAGTACTTTACTTCCAAGTGTTTTTTATAGAGTTAAATCACATAATCAAACCAATAACTTAGTCATTATAAATGGAAATATTGTATTTAAATTTTTATGTACGTGCAGAAAAAGAGTAATAAAATAATGATGATGGTCTTAATAATACACTGCACTCTTCTTTGTTAAAAGTATTGTATCCCAAATCAAAAATATTATACAAATCATTTGCAGAGATTAACACAATGACATTAGAACCTGGAAACTATAAACAAGAACGGGATCAATACTGCTTGACAAATTGAATTTCTTTCAGACCATTGCTATATACGAGTCCTCGCAGAGCAACTAACATATGCATTCGTTTTATTGTAGTTTAGTTATTGTAGAAGATGCGAAACCTTTTATAAAAAATTAAGAATTATGCATTTTTTGTGTGATTGTCTAGTTTAGGCTAATGGGACGAACAAATTTTAAGTACTTTATTGAAGACTTGACGACTTGTTAGGAATAATTACAATTGCAAATTTATGTTCTTCATACATCTTAATGTTTTCTCAGTATCTGCAAAAATGCATATACATAGTATTATGCTTATATTACTTTATTATTATTATGTGTCTGGTTCGTATCACCATTCTTGATTAGAGCATATGAAGATTCATATGATGTTCTGCGTAATCATGTAACATAGTGTGAAGGCAGCCTTTATATATTAAAATGACCTCGTATTTATACTTACTTATGTGGCCATAACAACCCGTTACCGAGTTTCGGCCTGACGCAGCATGTCTCCCCAGGCGCCTCTGCTGCGTGCGCGCCTTCTCCAGTCTCGTATATCAAGTCCAGTTAGTGCTCCCTCAACTTGATCACTCCACCGGAGACACGGTCTACCTTTACGTCTTCTTCCGCCAACTACTGCTTCAAACACCTTTTTCGCCGGAGCGTCTTCATCCATTCTCACGACATGACCAAGCCAGCGAAGCCGCTGGATGTTAATGCGCTGAATTACGTCAATGTCGTGATAAAGCTCGTACAGCTCGTGGTTCATTCTAATGCGGTAGTCGTCGCCAACTCGTAGAGGACCAAAGATCTTACGAAGAACTTTTCTCTCGAACACTCCCAGTGCTGCTTCATCATTCTGGGATAACGTCCATGCTTCTGCGCCATACAGAAGCACAGGGAGGATGAGCGACCTATAGAGCGTAAGTTTTGTTTGTCGAGAGAGAGCTCTACATACCAATTGCCTATTGAGCTCATAGTAGCACCTATTAGCAATGGTGATTCTTCGTCTGATCTCCAGACTGACATCATTTGTATTCGTTACAGCGGTGCCAAGGTAGATGAAATCCTTGACAGATTCGAAAGTATAGTCGCCAGCCACTAGCCCGGTGTCCGAGCGACGCACATTTCTACCAGTAGCCGACATATACTTCGTTTTTCCCTCATTCACCGCTAAACCCATTCTTGCAGATTCCTTTTCGATAGCAGCAAAAGCAGCTGTAACATCACGCTTGCTACGCCCAATGATGTCAATGTCGTCGGCGTAAGCAAGGAGCTGGACACATTTGTAGAATATTGTTCCATTACGATGAACACCTGCCCTGCGCATGATCACTTCCATGACGAAATTGAAGAGGTCACATGATAAGGGGTCACCTTGTCTGAAGCCTCGCACGGTATCAAAAGGTTCAGAGAGACTCGATCCTACCTTGACGGAGCTACGGGTATTACTCAGCGTCATTCTGCAAAGCCGAATTAATTTTGCAGGGATACCGAGCTCAGACATTGCGGCGTAAACGCGATCCCTAATGGGGCTATCGAAAGCTGCTTTATAATCGACAAAAAGGTGATGAGTATCGATGTTATGTTCGTGGGCTTTTTCCAGGATTTGTCGCAGTGTGAATATCTGATCAATGGTGGAGCGACCAGGTCGAAAGCCGCACTGATAAGGTCCAATCAGTGAGTTGGCATGTGGCTTCAACCTTTCACACAGTACAGTTGAAAGAACCTTGTACGCGACAGGTATCAGGCTAATCCCGCGATAGTTGGCGCAAATCGTCGGGTCACCTTTTTTCAAGACAGGACAAAGGCTACTGAGATTCCAATCGCTGGGCATACTTTCATCTAACCATATTCTGCAGATAAGCTGATGCATGCACCCTATCAGCATATCGCCGCCGGCTTTGAACAATTCAGCAGGCAGGCCATCTGCGCCTGCCGCTTTGTTGTTCTTAAGTCGCTGTATAGCAACACGCACTTCGTTATGGCTAGGTGGTGGAATTTCAACGTCATCATTTTCGATTGGGGATACAGAGGGCATTTCTTCAATGGCAGAGTTGATGTTATCATCGCCAGATAGTAGTTTGGAGAAATGCTCCTTCCATACTTTCAGTACATTCTGCGTAT